ACTTTAAAAAATGGATTGAAAAATTAATATTTTCAAAATTATAATAATTTTTCCATCAAAGTAAGTTAATGAATTGAGATCATTTCAGAAATTATCATACTGCATGTAAATAATGGATTATTTATCTTTTTACTTTGTACATATCATAGAATTATCTTACTATGATTTATTATATTTATTATATTTTTTTCACAATTAATAAATAATTAAAAAGAGTTAACAACATTTTTCATGCGACAAAGACGATTAATTAGTATTAATTAAGTATTATCATTCAAAAAATTATGCAAATGAATGAAATGAAAAAAGGATATGTAAATAAAGAATTTTTTTTTAATTAAAAAAAATAGAAAATATAGATAAATAAGATATAAATAAGGTAATTCATTGTTTTTACACAACATATTTTTTCAAGAAGTTAATTGAGAAATTGTTTATAACTTTAAAAAATATTAATAAAAAATTAATATTTTTTTAATAAAATTATATAAAAAATTTTGTTGTTTTATAATTTTATAATTTTAAAGTTATTATCTTTTTTTCATTTGATAAGTATCTAAAAATTATAAACTTTTTTATAATTATCCCGTATATAATCAATTTATATTAATATCAATTTGCTTATAATCAATTCAAAATACTGTTAAAAATAAAAAAATAAATATAAAAAATAAATTTTACATTCTTATTATTATTTTTTTACTTACGATAAAATTTTTTCTCATTAATCATACGCAGCTTGGAAATAATATTTAATTTAAAATTGCAACATTAACACTATGTATTTTTTTGTAAAACTTAGCTATATCTATATATATTACAAAAAAGTGTAAAAATATATTTACATAAATTAATAAAATATGGATATAATAAAAAATTTTACCTTCTTTTTATCCCTCATAGAGCCTTTCCCCCGAACCATAATTTTACATCCTGTTTCTTGCTCCAATTGTTTGGCTGTCATTCCTCGTGGTCCAAGGATTCTTCCAACAAAATTGAACTATAACAAACAAAATTATAAGCAAATTTAGAAAAAATATATATATATATATAAAATTGAAAATAAATTTTATATATTATTATTATAAATGTTTTTCATATTTCTAATTAAATAAAATTATATAAAAAGTTTTATAATTTTATATAAATGAATAGATTCAATGTATATATATTATTGTTATATTATATCCTTTGGACTATATAATTTATAAACTCAGTATTTAATAAGACATCAAATTAAAAATTTCATATTCAAATAGATATGATATTAAATATTTTTTAATAAATAAATAATTGCTTTAGTCTAATAATAATTATTAATATAATCTAATCTTTTATTTTTGTTGTTTCTTATTCTAATTTTATTCATTATTATTATTATTATTCATTTCATAATAGAAATTTGAATTAATAATATATATAGTATATATGTTTAGCATTAATTTAACATTAAAAACTTCATTTCAAAAACTTTGTTTTACTTGCCTTTTCTTTTTTTAACACTTAAAATTATATAATTTTTTTAACAGATCTACTGTATATTAATTATATAATTAATATTAATATGATAATAAATAAAAACATAAAAGTATTAATCTTAGTTAATAAATAAACTGAATATTTCTTGAATTTGTATTGAGTAAATATTTAAATTGATTTTTATATGCGCTCTTGATGTTTATTTATAAAAAAAATAAAAAATTAATAAAAAAAGTCATTATATACATTAATTGTATATGATTCAAGATATTTCTTAAAAATTAAATTTTCCTTAATATATCATAATAAAAATAAATATTTACATCTGGATGTTCTTTGACAGGTACATAAACTTTTTCCATAAGTGTTGTGACTTCACCCTCTGGTTCTGGCAAGACCAGTGGCTCTTTTTTGACACCACTGATCTGAAAAAGACTTGCTCGTACTTTTGCAATTTCTGTAACAAAATATGAATATGCATAAATAAATATATATTTGATTTTAATTCCAATTAAAATATTTTCATCAGACGATTTATTATTATTTTTTGAATAAAACAGGAAGGCAAAATTATTTAATTATTTTTAATTATATGTATCATTTTTTGATATTGATAGTAATATAAATATTTATAAAAAATTTAATTGAAACTCTTTATTTGATGTTTTAAAAATATCTTGTATTATATTATTATATTATATTATGTAATATCTTGTATAATTATTGCTAATTATATTATATTACATTATCAAAATTTTATAGTGAAAAGTTTTTTCTTAGAATAATAAGATGGAATAAAACAAGATTATGAAATATGAATAAAACGAAAATTAAATATCATATTAAATGATTTAATCCATCATTTAAAAATAAAAAAGTATTCATTTTTTTCACAAAATTCTACGTTTTATTTGTTTTTATTACATAAATAAACTTAATACATATAGCGCTATTATCATATAAAACATCTTTGTTATATCTTTCTATTTTTATGAGTTTTATGTCAAAAAACAGATATAATAAAAAATTAAAGATTAAATACTTAAAACTATTTTATAATAATACTAAATAAATGACAGAATTATACGAATTAAAAATATCTATTTATATAAATGAATTTATTGAATAAAAATTATAAAAAAATTATTTATTGCAATTTAAAATCGCTAATTTTTAGAATGCTAGATTTGATTAATAATATAAACATGAAAATATCACTCAATACCAAAAAATATATATATAACGAAGATATAATAAAATAATAAATTTAAACATATTATAAAATCAATCAAGAAAAAGAAAGTAAATATATTTCAATCTATTTAATTTTTTTTTTAAATATTTAAATAGAAATAGTTTTAATTATGCTAAAGCTTAAGTATTTTTGATTGACTTTCATGACATCTTTCATGATAAAAAGAATTTTATTTTATCAAGGAAATATATATAATTATTATTAAAATATAATAAATATAAAAAAATATAATAATCAAAAAAAAATCTAACTTTGTCTATTTATTCCATTTATATATATTAATTCATCTATACTGTATATATTTGCAAATATATATATATATATTGTATATATTTTTTATTTTCTTTTATCTCTCTTCTTATTATCATCTCCACTACAAACATTTATCAAATAACAATAATTCTTTAAAATTTTTGACACATTAGAATTATTTATATATGTATAAGTGAATTAGTAGACCAAATCAAAAACTTACTAAAAATATCATTTTTAATTTATCAAAGTCTAATATACAATTCGGTTTAATTAAAAGCATATCATTTTATTTTTTCAAAAAATTTTCAAAAAGTTATTCATTATATGAACCATAAGTACATATGTTTAAAATATATATATAAATATATAAAATGCAATAATAACAATAAAAATGCATAAAATATAATGCATAAAAATGTTTCTTTTCTTCTATTAAGAACTATTATTGATATGCTTTATTTTTTTATTATATAAAAAATTAATTTTTTTTATTATATATGAATTTAAGTATCACTAACTATAGAGTGACAGATACATGTTTACCGTAGTACGCATGCGTGAGTAGACATAAGAATGTGAATGAAAAGAGAGGGTAGACGAAATACATAGACAAGAAGAATACAGCATCATATCCACTTTTAGCAACATTGCTCATTACAGCTGACATCAGCTGTATTATATTCCATAGCTTTCTTACCTTCCTGTTTTCTACTACATCTGTTTTATTCTGTTTTAATAATTTAATGTTTTACATATTTAAAATAATTTTTTTTAAATACAAGTCATGTTATATATATTATATTATGAATTGTAATAAGAAATAAAAATTAACGTTAAAAATTAAATCTAATATGAATAATATTAGATTTATTAGATTCATATTTGAAGTTATTATTGATAATAAAAATATTTAAAATATTTATAATATTTAACACAGAATAAAGATGAACAATTTTTTTAAAGAATTGATATTAAACAACATGAAGCATATTATTACATACATGTTTAACTCATATTGTATGTCATGTGATATAATTGATTAATTTCATTAATGGAAATATAATTTTTATTTATATTATTTTAGAGTAAATACAAATAATGTGAAAATGATATAAAAGAAAAAATATTTTAGATAGTTATATAAAACATAAATAATTCAAAAAAACAAAAATATATATTATTTATATTTATTGTTTGTCATATTGTAACTAATTTATTTTATATTATGTATTATATAATTTATATATATTATATTATTTCGTAAAATATAAATTATAACTTTATATTATAATTTATAATTATATAATTTATAATATATTAATAATTATATTAACTATAACTTTATATTATAATTATTTTCAAACAATGAATATATAATATATATAAAATTTTTAATAAAAATTGCAATTATGAAATTATTTCTAAACTAACAAAAAAATAAAATCAAAATCAAACTATTAATATTAGGATAAAATAAAAATTCTTTTATGTGAAAATAAAAATCTGTATAAGCGTAGAATATGATGCTGAATCGATGTTGGTATTAGTTGCAGCATCTATGATATCATCGATGGCGTAATCATGAAGACTACGATCCATGACACAGATCAAATAGTTAAAGAAGACAATCATATTTTACAAAGATAGATGTTTAATTTGCAATTAGAAAGAAGATTTATATTTTTATATATCTAAATCATTAATAGAAAGTATTATTTTAAATATTCATTAAAAATTCTATTTATAATTATCATTAATGTAAATTTTAAATATTTTAATGAAATTTAAATATTTTAAATATTTCAATAATTATTTTAAAATATATTTTTGTATTTTACATTCACTTTTGTGCATATTGTACATATGAAAGTTATTGTTATTTTTATTAGGTATATATTATATCTAATAATTATATACAATATCAATTTTTTAATTGATTAAATTTTATCTTTTCAAATACAAATATGTTAATAATAATAATTATAAAAATAAACGGTTTCAAATAAATTTAAATATAAAAATAATAATTTTGTTTCCATAGTTTTATAAGTCAAATTAATATTTATGTTTTTAAATTCTATTTAAAAATATAATATTTATATTATATATATATTATAATATTTATATTATAATAATTATAATACCTTATATTTTAATTTATATTTATATAATAATTTATATTATAATATTAAATAATTTTACATGATTTTCAAAATATTTCAAAAAGAATATTTCAAAAAAACAATTTAAGTATATATTTTTAAAATTTAATGTTTATTTGAAGAAATGTAACTCGATTCACTTAAGATATTGCATAATAGAATAAATAGCAATATAAGTGAACATTTTACGTAAAAAACTATATTCAACAATATATATCATCAAAAAAAAATAAGTATGTAACGTAAAAAAAAAATTAATTATGAACATAATAGCTGATTTTAATTATGATAGAATTATGATATGATTACGATTATATTTATGATTAATATTATATCTATATATTTATGATTAAATATCATAAATATTATATATAAATAATATATTTATAAAATAATTAATAAAAAATACTTAAAAACATTATATTACCTATTAAATACAACTAAAAGACAATAAAAACAAAAATATAAAAATGTAAAATCATTATGATTTATTAAATCATTAAGTATACACATTTACAAAGTTAAAATCTATTAAAATACGTACACATTACATTTGCATTTTTGCATAAGAATAAAATTATATATGAAATTTGCTATATATTTTTTAATAGTTAATTTAACTCTCTAAATGAAAATAAAAACACAAAATTGTGAGTATTATTTTTAACATTTTTATATTGTTTTTCAAGTCATAAAACAAATATTATAAGAAATTTTATTTCATTTTATCCAATTATATTATTGATCGAACGACGAATTAAATAGTATATAAATTAATATTATACTTTATATAATTGAAGTATATTATATATATTATACATATATATATTGACAAACATATTATTGTACCATAAATATAATAATATTATTATATATAAATTTTATATATAATTTTTATTATAAAATATTAGACTAATTTTTTTCAGGATTGTAATTAATACAAAGTATATTTTAATCATGTTACAAATTCAGATTTAAATCAATGTCACCTGTATTGAATATTAGATTATATTTTAGTAGCCAAGTTTCTTAAGCAATTCACAATTTATTTTCACACAATGAGTCACAAGGATATATTTATAAATCGGTGCTCAAGAAATTTTATACCAATACTAAATTGTGATTTCCAACATTAGTTACAGAAATTAGTTATACAAATATAACATTAAAAATATCACTGGAAAAGATATTTTCGCGTTATATATTAAACTCGATTAAATTAATTAGGATATAAGAGTAGTCATATCTTTAATCTTTTCTTTCAATATAATGTTAATATATTTGGAATATTAGAAAAGTCATTCATATTATTGAAAATTTTAATCAAAATATATTAAATCTATTTCGTAATAAAATATTTTTCATAATTCATATTTAATATATGCAATATTTTTATTTAATATAATGGAATAAAAATCCATAATATAATATATTATAATATATTAATAAATTTTTAATTTTTTAATTTATAAAAATGTATAGAAATATTTGAAGAAAAATACTTGTAACTTAACTTGTAAAAAAAATTTAATTTTAAAACAATCAAATCAGTCAAAAATAATGATTTTTATTTCATGATTATTGAAAATATGAAAATATTTTGGCCAAATATTGTATTTTACTGAAATAGAAATATTTATTTATTTTTATAACATTATTTTAATTATAATTATTTATATATAAAATATATATATGATATATAATTATAAAATATGATACTTAGATACTATAGACTGATAAATAATTCTAGTATTAATAAAGGATTTAATATTCATTTTATATTTA